GGGCCGTACGCCTTGCTCTTCTTCCTGGCCAGCTTGAGGCTGATAGTCTGCAGCTCTTCCTCTGCCTTGTCCACCACCCCGTCTGCCTTACTCTTGTCGGCCCCCGGTGTGATGTCGTTCATGAAGGCTTGTATGAGGGCGCGTGGAAAGCTGGCTTGGATGGCCTTGAGTACTGGCTGGAGGGCCAGACAGAAGAGGAAGGGGCCGGCCGGCTCTCCTTGCTGAGTGCCTTGCTGGCTCAGGATGGTCCTCACTCTGCCGTCTGCGAGTCGATACCACAGCTTCGCCGGCTCTCCATAGAACTGCCAGAGAAAGTGAAAGAGCTCAGGGAACTGGCTGGCGAGCTCGTTGACGATCGCCTGACGGTCCACCTCGTTGAAGGCGTTCGTGCAATCCAGCCCCATGAGCAGTTTCTTTTCGCCCTCCCTCCGGCTCTGGATGAAGGTCTCGGCGGCCTTGAGGAGCTTCTCGTTGCCCGCTGGGGTGCCGACTGCGCACTGGAGAGGGGCGAAGTAGGCGGCCATCTTGTTCTTGTGCTGCATGCATACTGCTCTCGTCACCCATCGCCGCACTGCATCCCCCACCGCCACCGGCCGCACCTTGCCGGGCCCTTTCGTCAGCGCCACCAGGTTCGCGGTGTCGAGCAGCTTGGTGACAAGCTGTGGGAGCTTCGCGCTCAGCAGCCGTCTGATGATCTTGGGGAAGGGGATGCGCTCCTCTCCCTGCCGGAGCCCTTGCTTCGACAAGTTGAGGTAGCCAAGCAGATGCTCGAACCGCCAGCCGGACAGCCCTGGTGCGCGCCTTTTGCTGCTGAGCGGAGTGCTTTCGCGAGCATCTTGAGTGGGACGTTGAATGCCTCGGGCTTCACGTTGATGTCTGGCTTGGTGACGGGCGTGTTGCGTGAGGGGTGGAGGGCTTGCAGCTTGGCGTATGTCTCCTTCGTGGCTGGGGCGACTGGGGTGGAGTCCAGCTTCTTGGCCGCTCGTGTGAATTCCCCAAGCTCCACTAGCCGCTTGGCTGTTATGAACGCCCTCTGCGTTGTCGTGTCGTAGGTGGGGTGGGCGGGTGTGGGGTGGATGGCCGGTGTCGTCTCGGTGCTCTTTGGTGCGAAATCGGCCCCCTCTCGTAGCAGCAGCTCCCATTCCCCCTCCCAAAACAGCCGAAATCTCCGCTCCCACTTTCTCCTCCCTTCCGCCTCTCCTCTCTTGGTTGGGAACTGCAGTAGCGAGGGGATGTACGGAAACAGGAGGCACCCGTCGTCCAGCTGGTTGGTATCGCCATCGAGGCTGACCAGCACGTCTGCCGCCTCCATCACGTCAGCCAGGTCGATCCTTGCCTGTGGGGGGATCCTTGCCTCCATCGGGATGTCCATGCGTTGAGTGCTGCTCCTCTGTGCGGTTCCTCAGGAGCGCCAGCCCTCTCTCCGGGATCGTCTTTGTCGAACCACGCGTGCCGTCGCGTGCTGATGTGGCGCGGCGGCTGCCGCCCCCGTTGTGGTCTCCCCCATCGCCGCCCCCACCCGTGTCGTCGCCTGGCTCGTCGGGGTCCCCGCCATCGCCGCCTCCTCCTCTCAGCGCGACACGCCCTCGCCCCCCGCCTCGCCCCCTCCCCCGTCCTCTCCCTGACCCTCTGCCGCCTCGTCTACCGCCTCTGCCCCCTCTCGTGTTGCTGGCATGGTTGTTTGCGTTTGTTGGCGGCTGAGGGGGTCGTCAGGGTGGTTGGGACGGTTGAGAGAGCTGTTGAGAGGGCTGTTGAGAGGGCTGTTGGGATGGTGGGGCCAGGCCTGGTGGGCGACCTCTGATTGCCACCTATATGTGTGTCGGCGGCTGTGCTGGTTGTCCTGGCGGCGCCCCTCTCTGCATCGGCATCCATACGCCCGCCTCATGCCTTGGGGCGGCGTTTCGCTGGGTTCTGGGACGCCAGACGAGTGTGGGGGCCGGTGATGGTGCGTTTGGCTGTGTGATAGGGCGCCACTCCTGTCGTGTGTGGGGCGAAGGGTGTTGCGCGGGGGGTTGGGATCGATGCCGACACTCACCTGAGTGAGAAGCACAAGGGTGGATACCTGAGTGAGAAGCACGAGGGTGGATACCTGAGTGAGAAGCACGAGGGTGGATACCTGAGTGAGAAGCACGAGGGTGGATTGAGTGTGGGTTCGATTCCGATAGGAGGCTTTCTTGCTGTGAGCCGCCCCGCTCCTCTTGGCTCTCGTCCTGGTCCCCTTGCCCCTCCCCGTATTGATAGTCTCCCTCTATGTACTCGCACTCGCCCTCAGGCGCTTCTCCGTCTTGCACGCTGCTTGAGGCGGGCTGTGGGGCGCGTTGCTGGCTCACGGGTCGCCAGGCGCTCCTGCTGGTCCTCGGTGGTGTGTCCGGGTGGGCGGCGGACCGTTGGGTGGGTGCGACGGCTTCTGGCCGGGCGGCTGCTTAGCTGGCGGGCCGCCGGACGCCTCTGGTAGGCCCTGGTGGTGCGGGTGGCTGGGTGGCGGGCTGCTCAGTGAAAGCGGTTGCCTCTGGCGGGGCGGCTGGCCGGCTGACGGGCCGCCACTGCCGTCCGCTGCGCGGCTGGGGCCGTTGTGTGGCGGTCTCGTCTGTGTCTCCCTCCTCTACGTCGATGGTCTCCAGCGCTTGGAACGGGTTGGGCGACCGCATGGCTGGTTGTCCGCCCCTGATGCGCTGAGGCCGCCGGGCCACCGATCTGGGGAGCTGGAAGCCTCTCGGGAGGTATATTTGCCGTTGTCGTCTGCCATGCTGCCGCTCCTGTCGTCGTGTTGCGAGGGACAAATTGGCGCGGGACGCCCTGCTGCTGGTCCTCGGGCGGGTGTTGTTGTTTTGCCTCCACGGTTGTGGTGCCTTTGCCGCTCCATTTGACGACCCGCTTGCCGCCGGTGTGGCCGTCTCCCTCCTGGTATTGACCACGTCGACCCACGTCCTCGCCGCCGCCTGCTCCGTGTTCTCGCTGGGCGGCTGGGACGGCTCTGTCGAAGGTCGCCAGTCGTCATCTTGCTCCTCCTGTCGTGCTGGGCCGTAGAGCTCTGGGTCGTTCGCCATCGCCTCCTCCATCTCCGCCATGCTGCCTGGCAGTGGGGGCTCCTCGATGCCGAGCCGCAGGTTGCGATTGAGTTGGGGCAGCTCGAGCAGCAGTCTGTCGATGCCTGGCAGCAACAGCACGTCCTCTTCTGGGCGCCATCCGCCCTCGACTGCTTCGCCAGCATCGTACTCGTCGGCTGCGTCGGCCCTCGGTGCGTTGCGATCCACGTGCTCGATAATGTGGGAGCGAAGCGGGAGGGTCCCTTCACCTCCTACGGCTTCCTCAAGCACCTCGAAGGCGAAGTGAGCGCGGCATTGCGGGCAGCGGTGTCCGTTTTGGTGGGTGTATGTCCTCAGCAGGCAGCGGAGGCATGTGT